CCCTCACCTACTTGTCTCTTAATCTTGCACTTGTTGTACACTGATATATATACCTATAACTGCATGTTTACTCTTGCTAGGTTGTGATCAGTGTACTGCCTTGCTATTATAACTCTGCATCTAAACTGGCCTTGTGGTCGCTTGCTTGTGCTCTGACTGCGTGGTGATCTTGAGATCCACCTTGGGCTTTGCCTTGTTTGCTTCTCCTGACTGGTCTTGTGACCTCTGTTTGGTCTAGCTATCCCGTACTTCACCTATGGGGGTGTGTCAAATCATTATATGTTTCTGACTTTCTAGGCTATCTAGGGGTTCTCCTTAGAGGGTATCCCATCTTTCTTGACACTCTTGTACCCCTTCCCCTTGACCTAGTCCATTACTTCTTTCTACCAAGTTACTAGCACCTAGTTCCTAATTCTAACAGCCTCATGTACCTGATGACGTGCACAAAACCTGACGTCGCGTACCCTCTCAGCATCCTTGCTCGCTTCGTCGCGCCCAGGCGACACAGGAAGGAGCACTGGACAGCTGCGCAGAGGGTACTGCGTTACTTGTGCAGTACTTCAGGCATGGGGCTCGTGCTTGGAGGACGGGGTTCAGTGGTACTCACAGGATACTCCGACGCTTCTTGGGCCGACGACCAGGCGACTCAGCGGTCGGAACAGGGTTACTCTTTTAGTCTTGACTCTAGTTTTGTCTCGTGGGGGTCCACTTGTTCGTCTACTGTGCTTGGTTCTAGCTGTGAGGCCGAGATCTACGGTGGGGCCATGGCTGCACAGGAGTTACGCTGGCTGACCTACTTGCTGACCTACTCGGGTGAGCGGCCTCGTTCTCCTCCAGTTCTGTACGTCGACAACAAGGCCATGATTGCCTTGTGTCAGGAGCAGAGACTGGAGCACAGAACGAAGCACATTGCTCTTTGTTACTTTCTTGTTCGGGAGCTGCAGCATCGTAGTCAACTGCGCCTTGCTTACGCCGCCTCTTGGGCCAACACTGCTGGTGTCTTCACCAAGGCCCTTGAGCCAGGTGATCTCAGCGTTTCTGCACTACTCCATGCCTTGTGCCTACTCTGCCTCAATTGCTGGTTGCTTGACATTGTCTTGTACTGTGACATACACAGCATTTAATCCAGTAATAAGTGAAGGATGTAATTTAATTACGTTTTCTTTAACTGGTATAGGATAAGCTGAAATTAAACTTTGTCTATGTAAATGAGGCGCTCTATTTATTATCACAGGATGATAAGGAATAATTTCTTCTTAAAGTTCAGTAACAATTATAGGGTTTTCTTCTGATATAAGAGTTTCGCCCTCGGCAATAGTAGAAATTGTTTTCTTTTTAAGAAGACTCCCTAATATGAATGTTCGTATAGAACAAATAACATTTTGATTGTAATTCCTACTTCATTTAAAGTTAGTCTAGAATTGGGTACTATTACAGCTCTTGCTGAATAATCAACTCTTTTACCTAAATAATATCTTCTTAGTCTCTCTTTTCCTTCTAACATTTCAGCTAAGCTTTTGGTGTTACTTTTCTTTCATCTTTATTAGAGTGAAGCAATAAACTATCAACAGCTTTTCGCAACCTTATTTGTTCATTATGAATTATTACTGTAGTACACTGCTTGTGCTTTTATAATTCAGCATGTGAACTGGCGTTGTGGCCACTTGCTTATGCTCATACTGCGTGTGTCAGAATCCCAGCCACTAACCACTGGGATAAAAGGGATTGTTAAGTAGCGGGTCAGTGCGCTCATAACCCCCCAAGCTAACATGCCCGTATCCCTTCCTTAGTATCAATCGGGGATCACCAGTGGACCTTTGACACCCCTCCACACTTGGATGCTCGAAGTGCACACACTGGGATTCGAACCCGAGACCTTCGCTCTGATACCATGTCAGAGTCACAGCCACTAAGCACTGGGATAAAGGGCTAGTTAAGTAGCGGGTCAAAGCGCCCATAACCCCCCAGACGAACATGCCTGTAACCCTTCCCTAGGATCAATCGGGAATCACCAGTGGACCTGTGACAACGTGCTGATCTTGAGATCCACCCTGAGCTTTGCTTTGCTTTGTTCTCTTGTTTGACTGGTTTGTGAAACTGTCCTTTGTGTTTGCTATCCCTCACTTTGCCTATGGGGGTCTGTCAAATTGCATTTCTAATCTCTAGGCTACAGCCTGGGCATACTCCAAGGAGTACAGCACTTTAGGTCATTCCTAGTACTTGTACTCATTCTTCCCTACTAGTCCATGATTCCTACGTTATATTTTTGACACTTCCCTCCCTCCATGTGTACAGCACAAGCCTTGCGAATGCACTCTTGATGATTTGCCGTACCGTTCACAAACCATCAACGCTACCGTACAACCTCCACCAGAGTACCGTACTGTGGTAGACTTTTGAGGCGCCTCAAAAGGCACTACAACCTCCACCACAGTACCGTACTGTGGTAGCTCCAGCCTAAGTTTGGTAGTACTGTTCAGTAATGGTGCAGAAATGGAACAAGCTACCGGAGTACAGTATATGGATGCGATATGTATGTGATTCCCTGAGGGTGGATGCAAACATTGGCATGAGAAACGATTTGTTTGCAAAAAAAATGCACCAACCATTTACTATCCGGGCAATGACGGTAATTAGGGTAAACAAAGCAACATCCCAATCCACAATCTGTTTACAGTACAATCATATCCAGTACAACAGGATTACTAATCTTGCAGACTTAGCGTAATATAATATTAGGGTAAACAAAGCAACATTGTCTAAAAGGCAATATAATATTAAAATATAAATAGGCAAGTCAAGTACCAGCCCTAATGGTCCAGCCAGTAGAATAGGGAATTGTGAAGAACGAGGTTTCCGGTTCGAATATGGTCTCCTGCTTTTGCTAGGCTTGTGCAGACATCTTTCGAGAGTTTTGCCTTCAGACGAAAAAGACTCGATATCTGCAGTCTCAGACAAACTATATAAGGCTGTCTGAGAAATGAGATGAATAGAAAAAGCTTCTCTTAAAACCAGGGTCTCATGTAGATCATTTGTTTTGCAGTTGATGGGAAACACCCGTTTCCCATTGGTTGACGAGCCCTAAAAAACAAAAAGGGGTGCAGCGAGGGATGCAAAGGGAACTAAATCGCTTGCTGTGTTCCAAACCTTCTAGGTATGGAAACAGGTTCGGAGCCGAAGCTACAGTGCAAGTGAAATGTTAAGAATTGTCGAGAGTCTCATGTACCTGAAATTTGTTTTGCAATTGGTGCTGAGGCAAAATAGGGGGAGTGTCGCACGCCAACTTCCCTAGCCAACCAATCCAACTTGCCTACAAACACAAGGTAACGCAAATCTCAAATGTTTTGCAATTGATGGCAAAATCTCTTACTTGCGACCCTGGTTTTAAGAATCAGACGAAATTAAACAAGATGTGCACGACATCAGATGAACCAGTAACAAGATTCGACGTTAACGTCGAATGGGTTGCGTAATTAGCACATTCATATTTCACAAAACAAGAGGACAAACAACTTAATATATTTATATAGCACCACGTTTAACTTTCATGTATTAATGAATATAGCAAGTCTATTTACTTCTTGATTATGAAATAATCTGCTAGTTTATTATTTCATTGCTAAACTACGGGTGAATATAGAACAATTGAATGTCTTTTTTATAAGTAGTTTATAAATTTTAGTAAACAACTATGTTTTCAATTGTATATTTTGTAACACTATACTATCCGATTCTTGAGCAAAGTGTGGTTCAAATTGAGCTGAATCGCTCATCGGAATTCAGGGTGACGCACCCGTTTTGCCTGGGACGACGCAGGGGGGCGACGGTCGACCGAGCGTCAGGACGGCCAACTCCTTCGCTTGAATCCCTCGCCAGGCTGGCACGGGGCGGGGCTCTACCCACGCCCCCCGCCCCGACCCCCCACCCCGAATTCCTACAGAACCCCACGTTGCAACCGAGGGGTGGCAAACTCGCGCGCGAGCGACGAGGGGCCTAGTAACCCCTTCACGGAGGCGGACACTCGCTTCCCGTTGCCCGCGAGGCCCTAGTAACCCTCTCGGGCTGCCCTCGCCGGGCAGGCGGGATGGATGCGAAATTCAAAGGGCCCGACCCTACTATCGTCAGCATCGCTGGCCCCTCGGGAGGGGACACGTGGCTTACCCTCGCCACCCCGACCACCCCCATGCACGGCCCACACAAACCACCCACCTCTCCCCCTCCGAACCCCGCCCTCGAGGGCAGACCCGGTTCGGGCCAATGCCGGAGGCTCGCCCCCGGCCACCACCTGCCTCGTCCTCGAGCTGCAGGCTGGGCGACCGACGGCCCACGCCCATATGTTGATGGGGGGTCCGACTCCATCCGTCATTTCTCCTTTCCAACTTCCGCTTTCCGATTTCCTCTGCCTCCCTGTTAGCTCTCCGCGCTCCTCCCCTTTCCTTTCGAGATACCGTGGTGTTAGCATGGCGACCAGTAGGATAGAACTGCCTGCGACCGAATTCCCCCTCCAGGTGCCAGTGGGCATAGCTGGGTACATGGTGACGCTCGAGATGAAGGACTACGAAGTCCTTCGCGATGAGAAGGCCGAGTTCACAGAACCTTGCTTCGACCTCGGCCTCGCGTGAGCGCGCATCCCTAGGTCGCCTTGTTAGTTATTTAGGGTTCAGCGCGTTTCCGTCGGCGTCCTTTCTAGGTCGACGCTGGCCTTGTCGGCTTCCCGCGTGGTCGACGATGTCCGTCTGCGATGGACATCGTGGCGCTACGTCGTCTTATTAACTAGTTTGCTTGTCCTCGACCATGGGCCCTACGTCGGTGACGTCTGTCCTGCTGCCGGAGACGTCGCTGTCGTGCGAAACCTTCGTCCGAGTCGGCTTGTCTTGCTGTCGGCACTTTACCCAGGCGCCCGGCATGGATTGTAGCTCACCGCGCAAGTGTTTCGCTCCCGCCTTTTCGCCCCTGCTTGTCCTAGGTACGAGCTCGATCGCCTCGGAAAAGCCGGCAGGATGGCCCTGATCCGCGGTGCGAATCTTCGCGCCGCCAGGACGGCGTCGAAGCCGGACTATCTGGTTTTCGGGTCGGCCTTCTGCTTCGAATCCCTCGCCATCCCCCTGTGCACCAAGTAAGTGTTCCGGGCCCGTGAGGTTTGATCCTCGCCGACCGCGTTGCTTGTTGTTTCCGGACAGAACCCTGAATGTCTCCGTCGCGCTTGTGTGGGCAGGGGCGGACCTCTTCCCGGTAGGCACTGCAGCGTCCTACTTGTTGTGCGCCCTGGCGACCTGCTTTTGCCTCATGAGGAGGAGATCGAGACCTTCTACCGCTACCTCGACCCCAAGACCTCCTCCAAGCGGCACGAGGAGGAGGCGGCCAACATTTTGAGGTGGGACAACGACGCCGGCTAGTCACGCTGCTCCCTAACGGCGTTCATGCCGCCTTGTCTGATGGCTCTTTTCCGTCTCGTAGCGCAGGTTTTTCGGCGAATGCGTGAAGGCGGAGTTGAACCGTGAGGGAAGGGAGGGGACGGCTAAGCCTCCTTCCGCCGAAGTCCTCTCCGAACGACTGGAGAGTCTTGCTGCCCCCATCCGTGATATGAGTTTCCGACGTCGATGTCGCCTTGTCGCCTGGGCTATCGTCGTCGAGGCGTCGACTCACCCTTGTCGTCGTCGCCATGTGCTTGGGATGTTGATGCAGAAATTGCCCAACATCCTCAGGCAGGAGGTCGCTGGCACGGGGCTGCTGGCGGTCAACGCGTTAGCGTGGTCGTTGGAGCATCTGGACGACGTGCATCGCAGCTACGATCCGTTCATCGTCGAGAACCTGAAGCTGGTCGGCTTGAAGGCGCTCCGACTGGAGCTGGTGCACCACGTGGAGAAGGCCGCGTTGAACTCACGGGAGGCGGCGTCGACCGTGGGTCGTGGCGTCGGAACCGGCATCTCTCTGGGTGGGGAGGCCGAGGAGGCTGCGGCGGGGTCGCACTCTGGCGAGCACGGACCCACAGATGGCGGCGAGGAGGAGCACGAGAGGGAGGACGGGGAGGGGGCAGGGAGCAGGACGGTGGCTCAGACGAGGAAGAGGAGGACGAGGAGCGTGACGAGGACGCCGTGGTTGTCACCGGCGAAGAGGAGGCAGTACAGTTCGCCGGTGAGAAGGTTGCGGATAAGAGCGGCGGCAGCGGACCCAAGTCGGGCAAGAAGGCGCGGGGCAGCGGTGGCTCGACCCCGACTAGGATTGCGTCAAAGCCAGCTGTTGAGCGTCTGAAGGCGGCGGAGAGGGAGAACAAAAAGCTGAGGGAGGAGAAGCTGGTGGCGGAAAAGAGGCTAGAGTACTAGACGGGCCGGATTGACGCGCTTTTTGGCGTGGTCACCGCGACCATGAACAAGCTCTCGACGGTCGCCGAAAGCGTGACCTCTCACGAGCAGACGTCGGGGAGGAGCCTCCAAACGGCGGTGGACGCTATGAGGGCGGTCGTGCAGGAGGCGGTGAGCTATCGCGGCTCCACCCTAGAATTCATGAACGCGCAGTGGTTGCCCACCGTGCAGGCCCTGCACTTGACGGCTACTGCTGCGCAGGGTAGGCGACGGGAGGACGACGTCCTGCTGTTGCGAGGTGTGGCAGATGCTCTTGGCAAGAAGATCAAAACCGCCGTGTCTTCTGAGGTGAAGGCCGTCATGGAGAGTGAGGCGCAGGGGATAGCCAATGACGTGACTGTGAAAGTCCTCCAAGAGCTTAGGGACGACCTGGTGAAGGCGGTCACCTCCACGACCCAACAGGGCCTTGTTACCGCCGGGTTTAGCCTCCTCCCAACTGCTCTCGCGTCGGTGATGCACGGCGGTCGCGCAACTGCCGAGGAGCATGGGCCGGCGCAAAGGCAGTCGGGGAAAAGGGTCGCCGACGAAAAATCCATGACCGGCGACCAGACCAGCAGCAATAAGCGAAGTAGAGGACCAGCGGTGAAACGCGGTTTGGGCGTGGATCCTCCCACCGCTCCGTATATTCGTATCCCGGGCGTCCAAGGCTTGTTGAAAGAGGGACTTGGTGCGCGACCAAGCGCCGATTTTCAACAGGTTAACGTCGCGCTCCAGGATCCAGCTTCGGTGGTCGGGAAGACCGGTGGGCAGCCCGTGGGGGACAAGCAGCCACAGGCCCCGACCGATCCGCCGAGCGCACACGACGCGCCACCGAGCTGCGACCAGGCGAATCTTGCCGACGAGCTCATGGGAGAGGAATCCGTGGTCGCGAAGCAGGGCTGGCAGCCATTGGAGGACCAGCATCCACAGCCCGAGGCCAGTCCGGCGACTGCACAAGGCGCTCGACCGAGCGGCGGTACGGCCCAGATGGCCGACGACCTGCACCTCGCAGCGGTGGTCAGCCAGCCGCGCGGGGAGCCCGTTGCGGGCCAGCATGTTCAACCCTCGACGAGTACGCCGACTGCGCGACCGGCCGGCGTCACAGCGCAGCTGACCGGCGACCTCCTGCGCCCCGCAGCGGTGGTCAGACAGCAGGGCGGGCAGCCCGGTGCGGGCCAGCATCTTCACCTGTCGACGAGCACGGCGACCGCACAACACGCGCGACCGGGTGGCGTCTCGGCGCTGGTCGACGAGCTCTTGTGCTCAGCAGCGGTGGTCGAACAGCAAGTCTGGCATGCCGGGGCGGGCCAACATCTCCCCACCGCGACGAGTCCGGCGACCGCACAAGACGCGCGACTTGGTGGCGTGACGGCGCTGGTCGACGAGCTCTTGCGCCCAGCAGCGGTGGTCGGACAGCATGTCGAGCACGCCATGGCGGGCCAGCATCCCCACACCGCGACGAGTCCTGCAACTGCACTAGACACCGGGTGGCGTCTCGGCGCTGGTCGACGAGCTCTTGCGCCCAGCAGCGGTGGTCGGACAACATGTCGAGCAGGCCACGGCGGGCCAGCATCCCCACACCGCGACGAGTCCTGCGACTGCACAAGACGCGCGACCGGGTGGCGTCTCGGCGCTGGTCGACGAGCTCTTGCGCACAGCAGCGGTGGTCGGACAGCATGTCCAGCAGGCCGGGGCGGGCCAGCATCCCCATACCACGACGAGTCCGGCGAGTGCCAGTAGCGCAAGACCAGGTGGCGTCACAGCACAGCTGGTCGACCAGTCTTTCCGCCCCGAGCAGCGAGCGACAAACGTCCTACCCAGCGGCGCGGTCGAGGCCACATCAGTGATCATGTCGACGACGACAGCAGCGCCGACAAAATCGGGTACTGCCCAGGCGACCTTGTCGCTGCCGAACCCGCCTCCGCCTATTACGGGCACTGCCGGTGCGGCCAGCTTACCCGTTCATGTGGCCATGGTGTGAGGATCTAGGATCGAGCTCAGAAAAGAGAATATGAATTGAATGATCACCTGGGTACAACACGAGGCTATATATAGGCTCGACACAAGGCCCCGTAACCAGGTGTTACGCGAAGGTTCCGCGGGTCGCGAAGCGTCCCGAACAGATCCTTCCCGAATTCGGTAGAAGGCCATTCGAAGGCAACCGAAAAGCCAGAAATCGGTGCACGCAACCTAGCTCGGTGCTATAACTATAATAAAATATAGGAAAGCACCTAGCCTAGGAAATCAAGCAATTCATGCATGTGTATAATTATCCTATGCTAGAAATAGCACAAGAAATGAGTTTTCCCTGTGGCCGCATGTGATGCGTTGTTGTAAGCGAACTCTAGGGTTGGTAACTGTGTGTCCCAGTGGATGACGTTGTCCTTGCAAGCTGTGCGCAGTAACTGTTCAACCACTTGATTGAGTCGATCTGTCTGTCCGTCAGTCTGGGGGTGGTATGCTGAAGACATTGCAAGCTTTGTCCCCAACAGTCCCATGAGCTCCTTCCAAAACTTACTCGTGAATTTGGGGTCTCTGTCTGAGATGAGTGTAGCAGGGATGCCGTGGATGGTGATGATGCGGTCGAAAAAGAGGCGAGCAGTTGCTTCTGCTGTGGCGGTGGCGTTGGTCGGTATGAAGTGCCCCATTTTGGAGAACTTATCGATGACTACAAGGATGGAATCATGTCCCCGTGAGGTCGAGGGAAGTCCTGTGATGAAGTCGAGACTAACGACCTGCCATGGCTGCTCCGGTACGGGTAGAGGCTGGAGTAACCCTGCTTTCTTCTGCTTGCTGCTCTTCATCCGCTGGCATGTGTCGCAGGAGGTGACGAACTGCTGCACATTTGCTGCCATCCGAGGCCAGTAGTAATACTTCGCTATTCCCGCTAACGTCCTGTTGCTCCCGAAATGTCCCGCGTATGGTACGTTGTGAAACTCCTCCAAGAGTATCTGCCGTAGCGGGGCGTAATCCGGCACCCAAATCTTTCCTGAACCCTTCCTTACCGCTAGGTCTTTCTCCCATTGTAACAGCTTCTATTTCTCTGCCGTTGCTATCTCGCCGTCCACGGAGTACCCATGTTGGAATAGACCCTTGAGCAGAGGGTTCATCCCGTCGAGTTGGATGCCTGCTACATGACCTGGGCGGCTCAACGCGTCTGCTTTGTTGTGTAGCCCGGGTTTGTAGATGATGTCGTAGTGGAAGTGGGTCTCCAAGAAATCCACCCACCGTACCTGTCGTCGTGAGAGCGTAGGCTGCGACTTCAGGTATTTGGGGCTGCAGTGGTCAGTATAGACTGTGGTCTTGGCTCCCTCGAGGTAACACCTCCACGCCTTGAAGGCTACGACTATAGCTAGGGCTTCCTTGTCGTGGATGGGGTAGTTCAGTTCTGCTCCGTGCAGTTTCTTACTGAGGTAGGCGATAGGTTGTAAACCGTTCCCGTGATCCTGCATCAGTACTGCTCTGACTGCTTGGTCACTAGCGTCTGCTTCAACTACGTAGTCCTTCTTGGGGTCTGGTAGGATGAGTACTGGGGCCATGGTCAGTGCTGTCTGTAGCTGTTCCATGGCTTGCTGATGCGGAGTATCCCATTTGAAGGGCGTATCCTTTTTCAGTAGGTCAGTCAGTGGCGCTGCAATCTTAGCGTACTGTGGCACGAACCTGTTGTAGTAGTTGGCGAAGCCTAGGAACTGCTGCAACTCCTTCACGTTCTCCGGAACTTTCCACTTTTTAACGGCTTCGATCTTCCGCGGGTCCATGTGTACGCCCTCGGCACTCACCATGTGCCCGAGAAACTGCACCTTCTTCAGTGCGAAGTCGCTCTTCGACAGTTTCACGTAGAACTTATTCGTCCGCAGGATCTCGAACACCTTCCGCAGATGCTCCACGTGCTCCTTCATGTTCTTGGAGTAGATGAGGATATCGTCCAAGTACACCACTACGCACTCGTCCAGCAGGGGCCGTAGAATGTGGTTCATTTCTGCCTGGAACGTCGCTGGTGCGTTGCAGAGTCCGAACGGCATCACCAAGTATTCGTAGGAGCCGTATCGAGTACGGAACGCCGTCTTGTGGATCGAGTTGTCCGCCATCTTGATATGCCAGGAACCCGACCGTAGGTCCACCTTCGAGAAGACTGTTGCACCATGCAGTTGGTCTAGTAAGTCGTCGATGCGCGGTATGGGGTATTTGTTTTTGACTGTCTATTTGTTCAGTGCGCGGTAGTCGATGCACATCCGTAAGCTGCCGTCTGGTTTTGGAGTGAAGAGAACTGGTGCACCGTAGGGAGAGGTGGATACGCGGATCAGTTGTCTGTCAAGTAGATACTCTATCTGTTTCTTCATGTCTGTTAGTTCGGTCGGACTCAGTCGGTATGGTGCACGTGAAATGGGTTTTGCACCTGGTTCCTCCACGATCTCATGCTCGTGGGTGCATGCTCGAGGTACGCCTGCAGGTAGGTCGTCGGGCATTATATCTTTGTACTGCTCCAAGAGCTCCTTTACTGCTGCAGGGAGCTCGGAACTCGGCTTCTCCTCCTCTGCTGCTGCCATGACCAGTTCTAGGTAACCCGTGTTACTCTCGTTCACCGTCTGTTCGAACCGTGCCAGTGTCGTTTTAGGTACATCCCCTGTATCAGTCCAGCTTCGCAGTGCTATCCGCTTCCCGTTGTTGTAGATGCGCGCCTTCTTATTGATCCAAACGATCTCGGGGTTGAACCGCTTAGAAAATCTCGCCCCAAGATAAAATCTAACCCTTTGATGTTGGTGACTGGTAGCTTTGGCTTCCACCTCAATGCACCTATATGCAGCTGCAGTGATGCTTCCCCGTGGATAGGAAGTTTCGTACCGTCCACCATGGTTGCTGAAAATTGGGTCTCCTCCGCCTTCTCTCCAATTTTCTCCAATGCTCCGCGGTCACACACCGAGTGAGATGCACCGCTGTCCACCAGTGCCTGGAGGCGTCGCCCATTGCATAACACCTCGAGG